AAACACTGATCTGACTTACTACTTTATTTGTGAGCAACGCGTTTCGCCCATTGCTTCTTCAGGCTCACATATATATATTATACACACACATACAGATATATATGTATGTATGTATGTGTATGTATACGTGTATATAGATAGATAGATACAGTATACATATGTACGTAAGGTTTCTATTGAGACAGCCTTTATAGCATCTTTACAATGTTTACTTTATTTATTTTTTTATTTATTTATACCAATAATAACAACAAGTCTGGAGTTTTCTACCTTACCGACGGTTCCGCCATTAGGAACATTAATATGCCGTCAGCGAAGGGGGGCAAATCATCGGTTCCCCCGTTAGGAACATTAATATGCCGTCAGCGAAGGGGGGCAAATCATCGGTTCCGCCATTAGGAACATTAATATGGCGTCAGCGAAGGGGGGTAAATCATCGGTTCCGCCGTTAGGAACATTAATATGCCGTCATCGAAGGGGGGCAAATCATCGGTTCAGCCTTTAGGAACGTTAATATGCCGTCAGCGAAGGGGGGCAAATCATCGGTTCAGCCGTTAGGAACGTTAATATGCCGTCAGCGAAGGGGGGCAAACCATCGGTTCCGCCGTTAGGAACGTTAATAAGCCGTCAGCGAAGGGGGGCAAACCATCGGTTCCGCCGTTAGGAACGTTAATAAGCCGTCAGCGAAGGGGGGCAAACCAACGGTTCCGCCGTTAGCAAGGTTAATAAGCCGTCAGCGAAGGGGGGCAAATCATCGGTTCCGCCGTTAGGAACGTTAATAAGGTGTCAGCGAAGGGGGGCAAATCATCGGTTCTGCAGTTTGGAACGTTAATAAGCCGTCAGCGAAGGGGGGCAAATCATCGGTTCTGCCATTAGGAACGTTAATAAGGTGTCAGCGAAGGGGGGCAAATCATCGGTTCTGCAGTTTGGAACGTTAATATGCCGTCAGCGAAGGGGGGCAAATCATCGGTTCTGCCATTAGGAACGTTAATAAGGTGTCAGCGAAGGGGGGCAAATCATCGGTTCTGCAGTTTGGAACGTTAATAAGCCGTCAGCGAAGGGGGGCAAATCATCGGTTCTGCCATTAGGAACGTTAATAAGGTCTCAGCGAAGGGGGGCAAACCAACGGTTCCGCCGTTAGCAAGGTTAATAAGGTGTCAGCGAAGGGGGGCAAACCAACGGTTCCGCCGTTAGCAAGGTTAATAAGCCGTCAGCGAAGGGGGGCAAATCATCGGTTCCGCCGTTAGGAACGTTAATAAGGTGTCAGCGAAGGGGGGCAAATCATCGGTTCTGCAGTTTGGAACGTTAATAAGCCGTCAGCGAAGGGGGGCAAATCATCGGTTCTGCCATTAGGAACGTTAATAAGGTGTCAGCGAAGGGGGGCAAATCATCGGTTCTGCAGTTTGGAACGTTAATAAGGTGTCAGCGAAGGGGGGCAAATCATCGGTTCTGCAGTTTGGAACGTTAATAAGGCGTCAGCGAAGGGGTGGGAAACCATCGGTTCTGTCTTTAGGAACGTTAATAAGGTGTCAGTGAAGGGGGGCAAATCATCGGTTCTGCCGTTAGGAACGTTAATAAGGTGTCAGTGAAGGGACGGCAAACCTTAAATTCAGTCTAAATTGATGGGAGCAGTTGTGTTGGGGTGATGTTGTTGGTATCTGTACTGACCGTGGTATTGATATGAATTAGTAATTACATTGGTGTGTGCGTGCTCAGACTCTGAACATGGTCACGCCCACGCTGCGGGTGGAGGACTGCAGCATCGCTCTTTTGCCTAGAAACCATGAGAAGAACCGCTGCATGGACTGTTGCCTCCGGACCGCTGCCTGCCGTTCCTCATCACCATCGACGGAGAGAGCTCCAACTACATCAACGCTGCGCTGATGGACGTATGTGACACAAATTTACTCAAAGACAAAAAGCATAATGTAAACGTAGGGAATCTGACAAATTATTATCATTTCACTGCTTCCTGATTGATCAGCAACTAAAAGACTATGGATGGTGAAAGTCCAGAGGGACATATTTCAAGGCACTGGATGTAACGTTAGCTCTAATGGTAGCTAATGGGTTATCAAATATGTTGTTTTACCTTGAAATATGATCGATGTCCCTCCGGACTTTCACCAGCCATCGTCTCCTGGTCGATCAGGAAACACAGCAGGGCGACATTGTGCTTTTGATAACAGCATTTGAGTTCCTTGATGAGACGTCAGGGAAAAATGGCCGCCATGTGGATATGGTGCATTACAAGGAGCTGAATTAGCCGTTAGCAGCTCCTGTTTGCTTCCTGTTTGCAGGGTACAGACAACTTTAGCTGTGATACTAAGGAAAACTTAAAAACATGATTCTTATAATATTAAGTACAAATCTAAACCTATCATTACATCATAATACCTAGTTCATTATTATTTATTATAATGATAGGTTATGAAAGTAACTGTCCCTTTAAATGCCAGAGAGAGAGAGAGGCCTTTGGTTTATGTTAGAGAGCGGGAGAGAGCAGGCTCAGCATCTTTGTGGGTTAATGGAGGGTTTAGAAACACAGACCACAGTATTGTCCTACCCTACCATTTCACCAATAAACAACTCCATCCCCATGGAAACTGACCAAATGCCTGACCACAGAGAGTGTGTGTGTTCAAAGCTCCTCTTACATTAAAGCTCAGAGAGGGAAAAACCTTGCTCTTGTTGATCTTACTCATTCGCGTGCTTGATGTCATTTCCTGCTGCGTGACCTTATATTGGTGTGTGTTAACTGTTGCAGAGCTACAAGCAGCCGTCAGCGTTTATCGTTACCCAGCATCCTTTGCCCAACACAGTGAAGGACTTCTGGCGTCTGGTCCTGGACTACCACTGCACGTCTATCGTCATGCTGAACGACGTCGACCCTGCACAGGTAAACACACACACACACACACACACACGTCAACGCACGTGAAAGATTAACGAAAAGATGAGTGTGAACCAGATTCAAGTGTAAAAGTACTATATACGTGTACATATTATATACCCTGAAAATAAATAACAGGTAACAGTAACAGCACTGTACATATCTAATATCTACTCAAAAGTATACAGATATTCACGTTTCCTCCCTGAGGAATCTGAATATCCTGTTACCAGTTGCTCCTGGTGACATAGCTCTGGTGGAAAATCATAGGAATGACTGTACGAAGATAGAAAATCAACCAGTCCGTGTGTCTGTGTCTCAGCTGTGTCCTCAGTACTGGCCGGAGAACGGCCTCCATCGCCTCGGCTCCTTGCAGGTGGAGTTTGTCTCCGCAGATCTGGAAGAGGACGTCATCAGCCGAATTTTCAGGATCTACAACACAGCAAGGGTGCGTTTCTTTTACTCTCTGTTACCTCCCTTTATGGTTGATGTTACTTTGACTACTACCACCTAAAGACAGGGACACGCGTCAGGACTATATCTCCTTTTTTGGCTGGCAACCACCTCTATTTTGGTACAAGAACATGCAATAGATTTTTGTGGGATTTGCATGATCGTCTACCTGCAGAGCTACTGTGATTTACTGTGATCCAGTGGTGACTGAACAGTGATCCAGCGGTGACTGAACTGTGGTCCAGCGGTGACTGAGCAGTGGTCCAATGGTGACTGAACAGTGGTCCAGCGGTGACTGAGCAGTGACTGAGCAGTGGTCCAGCGGTGACTGAGCAGTGACTGAGCAGTGGTCCAATGGTGACTGAACAGTGGTCCAGCGGTGACTGAGCAGTGACTGAGCAGTGGTCCAATGGTGACTGAACAGTGGTCCAGCGGTGACTGAGCAGTGACTGAGCAGTGACTGAGCAGTGACTGAGCAGTGACTGAGCAGTGGTCCAGCGGTGACTGAGCAGTGACTGAGCAGTGGTCCAATGGTGACTGAACAGTGGTCCAGCGGTGACTGAGCAGTGACTGAGCAGTGGTCCAATGGTGACTGAACAGTGGTCCAGCGGTGACTGAGCAGTGGTCCAGCAGTGACTGAGCAGTGACTGAGCAGTGACTGAGCAGTGACTGAGCAGTGGTCCAATGGTGACTGAACAGTGGTCCAATGGTGACTGAACAGTGGTCCAATGGTGACTGAACAGTGGTCCAGCGGTGACTGAACAGTGGTCCAATGGTGACTGAACAGTGGTCCAGCGGTGACTGAACAGTGGTCCAATGGTGACTGAACAGTGGTCCAGCGGTGACTGAGCAGTGGTCCAGCGGTGACTGAGCAGTGGTCCAATGGTGACTGAACAGTGACTGAGCAGTGGTCCTATGATGACTGAACAGTGGTCCAATGGTGACTGAACAGTGGTCCAATGGTGACTGAACAGTGGTCCAGCGGTGACTGAACAGTGGTCCAATGGTGACTGAACAGTGGTCCAGCGGTGACTGAACAGTGGTCCAATGGTGACTGAGCAGTGGTCCAGCGGTGACTGAGCAGTGGTCCAGCGGTGACTGAACAGTGGTCCAATGGTGACTGAACAGTGGTCCAATGGTGACTGAACAGTGGTCCAGCGGTGACTGAACAGTGGTCCAATGGTGACTGAACAGTGGTCCAGCGGTGACTGAACAGTGGTCCAATGGTGACTGAGCAGTGGTCCAGCGGTGACTGAGCAGTGGTCCAGCGGTGACTGAGCAGTGGTCCAATGGTGACAGAGCAGTGGTCCAATGGTGACTGAGCAGTGGTCCAATGGTGACTGAACAGTGATCCAATGGTGACTGAGCAGTGGTCCAATGGTTGGTTGAGACATAGAGCAGCTCAGAGTGCAGCAGATCCAGCTGGTGTTTCACTAAATACTGAAAAACTGAGGACATGCAGCCAAACCCAAACTGTAAACGTCTGATTAAACACTGAACAGCTGCAGTCTGAAGTGATTTCGCTCATCAAGTTCAAATTTAATGAACACAAAATACAACGTTCACTGTGAGCTGTAACAAAACAAAGTGTTGGTAATTATTGCTGCATTTTCTACTTTAGGTTTTTAGTTATATATGTATGATGATAACAGACGCAGTGCAGCTCTCTGAAGTCTTCAGTCTGTCCTCTTAAGAATAAAAATCTACCTGCATGTTTACACCTGCTTTTCAGAGCATGCTAACGCCCGCTAATTAGCTGTTTTTGATGCTAGTTGATGCTAGCAGACCCCGGTAGCAGAGAGTCAGGTATTAGCCGCTTTAGCAGTGTTAGCGCAACAGAAGCCACGTCTTTCAGACTGGGGTTGTTTGATTTTGACCCCCTTTCCAGCCTCAGGTATTCAGGGTGTGCTTGGTTTCTGTCTGATAAAGTTCAGCTGTGCTTGTGTTTGATCCAAACCTCCATTTCTTTCCTGTTTCACCAAATTTAGATCAGAATGCGTTTGATTTAAACCTCTTCACCTCCCCGTCGGGCTGAGTTTAGGTTTTACTGCGTTTGATTTGTGCCTCATTTCCTCCTGTGTCTCACAACATTTCGTCTCTGTTTGATCCAGACTCCCCCTCCCCGCCCGCCTCGCCGTGGCAGGTCGGATTTAGCTTTCAGTGCGTTTGATTTGAACCCTCTCTCCTCCCTGTCTGCTCACATTTACGTTAGGATCAGTTTATCTTCCATCCTTTACCCCTCCCCCTTCATTCCCTTACCTGCCTTCTGTTTACCTGTCTCACCTCCTTCATTCCTTCCTTCCTTTACTTTCTGCCCACTTCTCTTGCTTTTGCTACTTGCTTCCTTATCTCCTTCTGTACTGCTCCTTTCCTTACCTCACTCCTTTCCTATCCCCATCCATCCTCCCCATTACCTATTTGTCCTCCCTTTCTTCCTCTTATGTCAGGGTATGTTTGATTTTATCCTCCTTTCAGCTCCTCTTCCTCCCCTACACGATTTTACTTTGGGGTGTGTTTGATTTCTCCATCCTTCCCTGAGCTTGTTCTGACCCCCCTGTCCTCCCTGTGTCTCCCAGCCGCAGGACGGGTACCGCATGGTGCAGCAGTTCCAGTTCCTGGGCTGGCCCATGTACCGGGACACGCCCGTCTCCAAGCGCTCCTTCCTCAAACTGGTCCACCAGGTGGACAAATGGCAGGAGGAGTACGACGGAGGAGAGGGGCGCACCGTGGTGCACTGCCTGTAAGAATACACACTCTCAGTACTGGAGATAGTACTGCTGATACTGCAACCACTGTTACTGCTGTACAATACTACTTATACTGCAATATAATACTACTGATACTGCAACCACTATTACTGCTTCTGATACTGCAATATAGTACTACTGATACTAATACTACTGATACTGCAATATAATACTTCTGATACTAATATCAGAATTTGATTGCACTTTTGTTAACTCTTACTTCCTTCCCTAGGTATTTACCCCATTGATGTGATATGTACTATGAGCTCTTACTAGTATTTATTGCTGCTCTTACTAGTATGTATTGTTAGTTGTAGATCTCGTGCTGTATTTGATGCTCTGTTGATGCTTGTATGTTGTTCCTCAAATGTAAGTCGCTTTGGATAAAAGTGTCTGCCACATGGGTAAATGTAATGTAAATGTAATACTACTGATACTGCAACCACTATTATACTACAGTATAGTACTACAGACACTACAACAGAGTACTACAGATACAGCAGTATAGTACTACAGACACTACAACAGAGTACTACAGATACAGCAGTATAGTACTACAGACACTACAACAGAGTACTACAGACACTACAACAGAGTACTACAGACACTACAGTATAGTACTACAGACACTACAACAGAGTACTACAGACACTACAGTATAGTACTACAGACACTACAACAGAGTACTACAGATACAGCAGTATAGTACTACAGACACTACAACAGAGTACTACAGACACTACAACAGAGTACTACAGACACTACAACAGAGTACTACAGATACAGCAGTATAGTACTACAGACACTACAACAGAGTACTACAGACACTACAGTATAGTACTACAGACACTACAACAGAGTACTACAGATACAGCAGTATAGTACTACAGACACTACAACAGAGTACTACAGACACTACAACAGAGTACTACAGACACTACAGTATAGTACTACAGACACTACAACAGAGTACTACAGATACAGCAGTATAGTACTACAGACACTACAACAGAGTACTACAGATACAGCAGTATAGTACTACAGACACTACAACAGAGTACTACAGATACAGCAGTATAGTATTACAGACACTACAACAGAGTACTACAGACACTACAACAGAGTACTACAGATACAGCAGTATAGTACTACAGACACTACAACAGAGTACTACAGATACAGCAGTATAGTACTACAGACACTACAACAGAGTACTACAGATACAGCAGTATAGTATTACAGACACTACAACAGAGTACTACAGACACTACAACAGAGTACTACAGATACAGCAGTATAGTACTACAGACACTACAACAGAGTACTACAGATACAGCAGTATAGTACTACAGACACTACAACAGAGTACTACAGATACAGCAGTATAGTACTACAGACACTACAACAGAGTACTACAGATACAGCAGTATAGTATTACAGACACTACAACAGAGTACTACAGACACTACAACAGAGTACTACAGATACAGCAGTATAGTACTACAGACACTACAACAGAGTACTACAGATACAGCAGTATAGTACTACAGACACTACAACAGAGTACTACAGATACAGCAGTATAGTACTACAGACACTACAACAGAGTACTACAGATACAGCAGTATAGTACTACAGACACTACAACAGAGTACTACAGATACAGCAGTACATATAAGTACATATAATACTGACATGGATGAATAGTGGTGTTTTGTCTCCATCTAGTGGTGAGAAAATGGAACTACAGTCTGGTTGTAATCTCTCTGACTCCTCTCTGCCCCCCCTCAGGAACGGGGGAGGTC